ATACCACATGACTGATCATTTATCATGACTACAACTCCCCCATCGAGCTTCTCAAAAGATATAAACAAATCTCGCCTAGGGGTCACATGATAGGTAGTATCGGAATCAAGCATCCAATCTGATGCATCCAAGTGATTCAACTCCGGAGTAATCAGTAGAGAAAAGCTAGAATCATCGGAATTATCACCTTTCGTAATATTCACCTCATTGGCCTTCGGGCCCTTCTTCTTGTCATTCTCCTTCTCCTTGAGCTTCGTGCAGTCTCTCTTCCAATGTCCCTGCTCCTTACAGAATGCACATTGGTTCTTTGCTAATTAGTGGTGTCTTCTTGATTTTGACCTCCCTCTATTACCATCATTCGGATATGGGCTTCTACCTCTAGTCGACAAGACCTCGCTTGAAGTACTAGTACGTCAAGTCTCCTTGTCCTTTCTCCTCAAATCATAATTCGTCAATGCATTAGTTACTTTACTATAGCTGATAGAAGATCTCCCGTTTAACAAAGTGAGCACAAAGGTGTCATACTCCTCATCCGATAAGGAGCCCAATAAGATAATAGCCTTATACTCATCCGAAATCTTCTCATCAATATTCGCCAAGTCCGACAACAACTTCGTATAGTTGTTCACATGAGCCGCAAGCGAGGTACCTCTGGACATCTAAAATCTGAATAACCTACACAGCAAGTGTAACCGGTTCTCAACACTCTTCGTAAGGTACTTATTGTTAAGAATTTCACACATCTTCATTGCAGACGTCACTTCAATCATATCATACTTCAGTTCATGTTCTAAACAGGACCTGATCACCCCACAAGCGTTCCTATTCATCTTTTCCCATATCGCCTCTTCATATTTTGATGGTCTCTCATGGACCATGATGGTCTCCTCCAAGTTCTGAGCATTGAGCGCATCCTGTACGTCGCTCATCCACAAACCAAAGTTGATTTTACCGTCATACTTCACCACACTAATTTTGGTATTCTGAAAACCAACTTGAACTGGACTTGTCATCGTCTTGCTGCTTTCACCAACTTCTTCACCCATACTTGTAAACTCCAAATTGCAAAGAAAGATTCAAACTTTAAAAGGAATAAGAAATTACCCAACTAAACCCTAGATTGGATTCCAAATAGAACTCCTAACTACACGAGGAAAGCGATATCTTCAATGGCAACTTCAAATCCTATCTCCACCGAAGCCTAGAACTCCAAGAACCAAGCTTCCACGACGAATCTTCCTCCACCTAATGCCAAAACCCTAGATCTAAAATCTGAGCTCTGATACTAATTGTCACGCGTCTATGCGGAAGCGTGCTCGCTCACCAAACAAGTCGTATGCACGGGAGAAGAATAACCAATCACACACGAGCACAATCTAAAAATAAAATACGATAGATCAATCACAAACACAGAGATATACATGGTTCAGCAATTTGCCTACGTCCACGGGGAGATGATGGGGAGATTCCACTAAATCAAGGAGAATACAAAGGGTTACAATCTTACAAAACTCACAAACTAACCCTCAACCAAATCTCTCAACTTGCTCACAATATCTCCCTCTCACAATGCTCAAAAAGTCTCTCTAATCTCTGATTACAACTCTCCTCTTTTTGATGATCCTATCTCTTCTAAGGCGTTCCATATATATAGAAAACCTAAAACCAAAACAGACTAGGAAATCTAAAACAAAAAACAAAACAAATTAGGAATCCTAATAACCTGTTACCAAAACAAATTAAGAATCATGTTACAAAAATAGATTAGAAATTCTAACAACCTGTTACCAAAACAGATTAAGAACCTGCTATCCAACATAATTATCATACTTGGTCCCAAATGACCACCCACCCGGAAAGAAAAGAAGAAAAAAAATCCATTTGGCAGACTAATGTCTAAAAACCCTTTGGTAAATTTATCATTCATCTACCATCCGTCGTTCATCATCATGACCATGTCTTTTTTTCCCTCACCTCTTTTGATACGATGAGAACCTTTACAAGGCACAAGATCCCATCCCGACGCCCGAGTTTGATTCTCGATCCTTACCAAATAAATCTCAAGTGTATGGGTCTCCATGCCACTTGTCGTATCTTGATGGGCCTCGATCATGCATGTTATTCATACTAGATTATTTTTTTAACCAATCAAACAAGCTTAAAACAAGTTTTCTTAAAAAATCACTCACATCATCAAATAATATGGCGACAGCTCATCTCATCTCATCTCCTTTTTTATTTTTAAAAAATCAATCAAACACAAGAAAAAAAATCTATTGTAGGAAATCAATTTCCTTCTTTTTTTTAGCCAAACAAACAGCCCATATATGTAAAAAAAAACTTGAGGTGATCGAGTTGGAGAGAAGTTGATGAGTTGATTCTCGGGGTATCATCTCCCACCCACGGTGACTTGCGCATGCGTTGCTCTAGCATGACCCGCATGCAGTTGTTGTTCAACCAGTCTCCTGTCTCCACCGACAGAATCATACAAAGCAAAAAAAAAAAAAAGGTTTTCTTAGTTTTTTTCCCCAAAATTTCCCCCCCCCCCTAAGGTTTTCTTAGTTTTTTTCCCCAAAATCCCCCCCCCCCCATATCTTTAATATTTTTAAATTAGTCCTCCAAATCTTGATATTACCCCCCAAATCTTGATATTTTGAACTGAGTCCCTCAAATATTTAAGTATTTTGGAATTAGTCCCCTGAATCCTCATATTTCGAAATCACTCTCCCAATTGTGCTAAGTGATTGAAATTAGTCCTCCATAGTTGGGGAACTAACCTCAAAAATGAAGATTTTGGGGAACTTGTTCCAAAACACTTATTGTTTCTTTGTAATAATATTGTTAATTAGCACTTACTTATCTTACTGATTCTCGTACTTTTCGTTTGTACTTGTAAACCCTGACGTTTCTAAAATTTGCACTCAATACCTTTTGTGATGCAAACCTGAGAATTTTCCATAGAATTTCCTCCACAACCTAATTTTAGATATATTTTTAGTCCTTGGATATTTGTTGAATTTAATATTAAATCCTCCATAATTTTATTTTAAAACATAATTGGGATAGATTTAACATGGCGCCCTAGTCTGTTTAGCAGCAACAACAAATCCACCGAACATTAAGAGTTTAAGATTAATTCTAAAATTAACTAGAGTGTCACGTGAGAAACTTCTGTTGACCAAAACAAATGAACATGTAATTGCAAAGTAGGGAAAACTATAAGGTATCCCTATTAAGTTGAATTATACTTTCTATCTACTAACATCAGGATACTTTCCGTGTCCACCTTTTGTAATTTAAGTTGAATTATACTTTCTATCTACTAACATCAGGATACTTTCCGTGTCCACCTTTTGTAATTAGCACTTTTATCTCTTTTTTTAATGAACATACTAACATCAGGATACTTTCCGTGTCCACCTTTTGTAATTAGCACTTTTATCTCTTTTTTTAATGAACATGGATCATCCCTTGTTTTTGTTGTAAAATAAAATAAAATAATAAGGCTAATTAGTCTGGCTGTAAATGTGACTGTGATTACCAAAAAAGTTCCAAGCTATTATTAAATTGCAGTTGCTACAGATGATGATGGTACAACGAAACATATGTTTAAAATAGGCGATTTTACAACTAGTTCCTTCTACTTAGAATGATATTCATAAATTAAACCATGTAGCTATAGTTATATTCAAAATAATAACTACAAGTACAAGTCGCCGTACGCGTCTATCGTTATTTCGTCGAATTTTTATTATCATACCGAGTAATTTAAAAATGCATGATTATTATTATTATTATTATTTGCAATTTCGACTATTTCAACCTGGGGGAAAAAATTAGCGTTAGATGCAGAGCTTCTTTGAATTGCTTACAAGGGCATGCTTTAGCAATAATAATATTATTGGAGAAGGTAGATTGAGATCATTAATACCATACTCAATGGGGATAGGCTCCCAATGTCAACTTCACGCGAGAACAATTTAATTCACAGGAAGAAGTATAGGAACGAGCACAGCGAAGGAAGAAGATAAGAGTGAGGATGTCTAGTCAACACAGAATCCAAGGGGCTAAGATGTAAATGTATATGACCGAAAATATGACCTTTGTTGGAAGAGTTTTGTTATACAGACTCAAAATATAGGATCAACATGATGGACAGGTGAGATGTTCCTCTCCTATTGTATAATGAGCTGATCATCATTAATGATGGCCAGCTCATTATGAAATAGGAGGGGGACACCTCACATGCCCCCTGTTGGTCCCATATTTTACGTCCTTGAGGAATTTTTTTTATTGGAATAATATAAAACAGTGAAAGGCCACAGTTTGAAATAATAAACTACGTAAAAATATGATTTGTGGACCTAGTCGAGTCTTTCCCATGATTTGGACTGCAATCGAAAGCTGCGCACAGTTTGAACGAAATCTCAAGTTAACTGTCCTGATCTCTTTTGAGCTTTGTGTCGTCGAGATAATATTGACGGTAAATTTCACAAAACCCCAAGGAGTTTGGCCCATGTTAAGTAACCCTAGAAAGATCTGGAAATATCACATAACCTTCGCACCTTTGAATTTTTCTGAATCTATTTTCAGATAACCTCAATCTTTTTGGAGTTAGATGAATTTTTTTTTTTAAATTCTGGTCAAACTTATTAGGGATTTTGTGAAACTTACCCTAGTATTTAGTAATCAGCAACAGTTGCATTACTGGTACACTGAAATATATATTTATCCTCCTCAATGCACCGACCCCAAGGTGGATGCAATTCTAAGTAGTAAATACTATTGTGTCGTCGGCCGCCTTTGCTGGGTATGCGAGAAAAAGAAGTGTTTCTTCCACTGAGCTTCATAGCGTCGACAACGGAGATTCTCAGATCAATTCGGGCTCCAACAAATGCAAGGTACAAAGGTTTCATACATCAGCAAGATAACCAACCCCAATATTTTTTTAACATCAAGCCTAACTACTGTATACCATTTATTTCTGGAGGCAGCAATCATCAAAAACTCATACCCGGCTGTATCCCAAATGGTTAGTTTCTGGTCTCCCAAAGAAAAATAAAAACCAAGTGCGTCATTCGCTAAACATTTTTATTTGATACATACCTCTCTTTCAGCATAAAGAAATGGAACAAGGAAACTAAAAAAAATACAGGAAGCTGTAATGGATATAGCTGTCTTCTAATTAAAGAAAAATTAGATAAAAGGGGCTGCAAAGACCTGACTTCTTGGTTAAAACTCTGATGTCTATCTTGAATTTAATGATACAAAAATGCCTGCGAACACATTACGGTAATTGCATGAGTTATTTGTTTATGCTCAGCTGGATTTGATTATAATATATGCCTTGTCCGGTCACTCTCTTTCTCTCTCTCTCTCTCTGGAACCTGATAAAGAACAAAGAAAATGTATTTATCAGTATCAGAATGTGATAGTTCTACTGAAAGTTCAAGCTAGCTAAACAAGAGTTCAAGTCTCTACAACTAAGACACTACAATTGAATCAGAAAAGATTGCTCCCAGAACAAGGGAACATCACCACATAAACAGGCTAGGGAGGGGGGGAAATATATTCAAAACTGCCTTTCTTGTGATATTAAACAAAACTCATAATAATTTTCTCAGCCTAGAAGAGAAGGATGGACAAGTAAAATTTGGAATACACCAAAAAAGTCGAATACAACTATCTTGTGCCAACAATGCATTACTGTCATGAAACATACAATTGGAAGCCTTAATTACTTAACCAGATGGCATTTAGAAGCAGGGTCTTTTACACTGCACTGACATTTAAGAAAGCCTTCTCCCATCAGTGAAACAGTACCAAATTCTGAATTTTTTTTTTCTTTTAAAGTTCCAACAACTATTTAAGTAACATCAAAATATGAGTATTCCAGGCAGTAGAAGACTGTAATGTGTTACTGAGTAACAGCTGTCTGTGATCAAGATGGCAATAATAAAGAAATGAACAGGACTCCTTGCATTCAGTATTTGTTGTGGAAGAAGTTGATATGATCGTGACAACAGCATACAAACTAGATATTCGGATCATAGAGGGGGGGAAATTGATTCCATTTATATCTTGAAGAACAATTGTCACCTCGAGAAAATGTAGTACACAGCTGTCATATAACATTGACAGATGAGTAATCCAGGCAATTGATTATGTATATGTTACTAAATAACAAATGTCTGTGATCAAGATGGCAATAAAGAAAAGAACAGGACAACTAGTTGCATTCAGCATTTGTCACTGGAGAAGATGATAGTCATCATGATAACAGCACATAGACTAGATATTTGGATCATAGTGGCCGCGTTATTATTATTATTATTATTTTTTTTTTTTTTTTTTTGGGGGGGGGGGGGGATGTTCACCTCAAGAAACAGTAGTGCACTGCCCCCACTGGATGTTGCCTTGCAAATTCCCTAGTTGCCATGTAAGCACTGCAAAGTTAGCAAACAGAACAGGTTCAGGAAATGGGCTAAAAGGCTTTGTTGTTGTGTTGGTACCAAGGGGGCATAATGGATTCTTAAAAAGGGGAAAGTTCAATTGGAGCCAGAATTTGGGATATAGACTTGCCTATCCAATGAAGTCTCTTCATTATTCTGTTCCTCATCCTCATTCCCATTCACGAGAACAGCACCATCTGTAGACTCATCATTCTCTTCCACCACCTGAACTTCTTCCTCTCCATTCTCTTCCATTACCTGCAAATGCTCAACAAATTATAATAGAAATTATAAAGTCAAAAGCCATAAAATTTAGGATATGAAGGTAAAATGCAAGGAGTATCAACAAGCGAACAAGAGAGAGAATAGATCTTCATTTCGAAGTAATTTGCAATTAGCCTATCAAGTCAGTCTACATGTGCCCCAAAAATGATCTTGAACCAGCTAAGAAGTTTAGGCCTACTTAATCAAGTTGTCAGTCAAAGCTGTGGATATTACGCCTAATAGTTTTAATTGGTGGGTTTTCTTTCTTTTCTTTTTTGTTTTTTTGTATGGCGAAATTTCTCTCTCAACTTGTCACATTTGGTTATAACACGCACTGCTATGCTTATCCTCATAATGTCAGCATATTAAAAAATAAAGATAAACGGAAGTGCTATCTACCCCACTAAAATCATCAATCAGTGAATTGATTACAAGGTCTGTATTAGAAGATTTCTTGAATTAGAAGATTTGTTGCATATTACAGTAACATGGACCGACATAATACCGAACCAGTTCATCCCCCCTCACTTACAGCAAAATTCAACTACATGTAAGAAAAACACACCTGAAGACTAGAATCTCCGTTTTCAAGTGCCACATTCTCTTCATCAACTTGCATGCTTTTGAACGCTTCTACGAGGTTAACATTTGACTTTTCAACATAGTTCAAATATTCCTCTGCAGGAGGATAACTACACCTGACATAAAGATTAATGAGTCAAACTCAGGTTACAAATATCCATAGAAGTTCCCAGAAAAATGACTCCAAGAAAATAGAAAATATAGAAATTTCTGTTTAAAACTAAATAATGTCCATCAACAACATAAAAATCTGAAGCAAACTGTGAAAACCCACAACCAGCCATCTACTTCATAGCGTGCTCTAAAAATTGACAACTAAATCTAAACTGAAAGAGTCATTCTGATAGACCTTGAAACTTTGAATCAACAAAACACACCATCTTGCTAAATGCCTATGAAGTACTACTTTATTGGCCAATAATCAAGAAAATGAGAAAGTGGCAGAAGAACCTGGAACCAATGGCCGAGCTAGCGGGGCCGGGGTGCTCCCCCACCCCCAACAAAAAAAGAAAAAAGAAAAAAAACCCAAAGCTTTTACATACATACCTAGTATGTATATATGGTTACATTCCATATTAGTACCTCAAATCTTTCATAATTTGAATTAGTCCTTCAAATATTTCATATTTGAAATTAGACCTCGAACTCTTAATGCTTTTGCCATTTTTTGCACAAATCTTTGAAGTAAATTGAAATTAGTCCCTTTGTTATAGTTAACATCCAACTTGTTGACCATCAAGATTACCTGGACACTTCACCTAGGCTCTCATGTTTGTGTCCGACACTCATTGGACATTTCTTTGATATATACTGATATTTATTCAGACGTGTACTCAATTATATCACATGTTTTAGTTTAAAAAACCGGTGATACACTTCTTGAATGTATATCATACACTTCACCTCAAATTTATGCAACTCATTAGACCTTGGACAGGTTAGTTTTAGTACATACCTAGTTCATAAGTATGATTTTAAATGATCGTTTGCGTATCTAGTTCAAATATGAGTGGGTTTTCAATTTATAATCTACTCAATGAAAGAAAAGAAAACATAACAGTATAAGGATTTTAGTTTTCATAACATGCGAATGAAAAAAAAATTATTGATATCATATAGATTATTAATTTTAATATGTATGTATATAGTCGTGTTCCGTATCTGCACCCATGACCGTGTCCGCACCTGCGGCCGTGTCCACACCTGCCCCGATATCTGTGCAACATAGTTGACCAGAGTTGGGTGGTAAACTAGGACTTGGTAATTATTGAATTACCAAAGCAATGAAGATTAAATTCGAAATCAGCGGATTTAAGTTTATCAACACATAATCTTCTCCAATTTGTGCTCTAGCGAATTTTATTTTGGGATTTGGGTCTGAATGCGTATGGGTATAACTGCTATTTCACCCAAAAATATTACAGATGCTCAATTACAACTAGCTTCTAACTAGAGGGACTAATTTCAAATTACTTAATATATAGGGGATTAATATGGAAAAAACCCTATACGCATCAGCTCATCATATTTTAATATATTTCTTTGCATTTCAAGTAGAATAGGGAAATGGTATTTCAATTTTTATGTGATTTGCATTTAATATTAGAATTGTAAAATGCACTTATATTTTCATGTGGTTTTGCAGTTTGTGATGGAATTGTGATATAAGGGTCCCTCAATTTCATAGTGTTTTACATGAAGTAGATATTTGAAATTAATTTTCTATGTTCATGTATTTTTGCAACTGTTGTCCAAAATGTGATAGTTAACATTGCTTCAGCTATTATTAATATTATTATTATTATTATTATTTAAAATTAGTCTGATGGTATAATTCATAGTGTGTTGCGACACATTTTTAAAATGAAACTTTAGAAGATTGAAGCATGTGGATCCAACAATATGTGAGTTTCTTAAAATGGTTCAAATATTAATAAATATTTTTTGTAAGAACATTTATTTTAGATTCTTATTTCACCAACTTACATATATGAAACTTTATTGCATATTATCACATTTGATAGTTTTTATATTGATGTATAATGGCTGTATTTTGGACACCCCTCCCAAAAAAAAATCCTTCCCAACAAATAAATTATAGTCTTAGTTGCAAATCCTCAAGGGTAATTCATTAAAAGGTAAACTTTGGAATAGCCTTTCTTCTAGTCAAAGGCCTAATAAAAAGTGAAACTCGAATGAATGAACTATTATTTCAAGAGCTTTTCTGCTTGTTAAAGGGCTATTAACTCTCAATGTATCACATATAATGTTATTATTTCTTTTTTACTTTCTAGATTCTCATTCACTAAATTTCAACTCAACATGATGACGCCACTCTATTTTAACTAGAAAGTGAATAAAGTGTAAAATTATTGACAAGATGCATTATCCATGGTAGGATGGACTTTCAAATGGTATCTGACTAATATAATAGCAATGTGTTTTACAAAACTCTTGATATCTTAATGTAAACCTTTGGTTAGCATTGGCGGAGCTAGGGACAGGGGTAGCC